TAAGTCAAGGTCATATCACAAACATGATTTAAATGCCACTATTCGTCAGTAGCTGCGTGGCGTAGTGGTTAGCGTGTTAGTCTCAAAACAATATGATACTCCGGGTTTTTATTGATAGGGGTTCGAATCTCACGAATACCATTTTATTTTTTTTAATAAAAGAATAATTTTTCCGAGATCTTTTTTCTCAGAAAAGTTTTGCTAATCATAATTTCATAAATTTCAATAATGAGAACTTTATTTTAAATACTTAATTCACAAATTGAATATGATTTTATTAATATCTGAAGCTATAGGCATTCTGCACGCCTTGTTCACCCATCTTCTTTTTGGTGATAAATATACACAATTTTCTTAAGAATGATGGATCAGTATTTGTCATTAATTTACAAAATTTTATAACATTTGGATGTACATAGTATTTCTCTAACAGAAAATCTTTTCGAATATTACATAATACATGCATTACATTCCAGTAAGTAGTGAAATTCGTCTCCAATTTGATTATTATTACATAAATAGCACACTCTTTCATTTCTTTCAACATTATTCCATCTACCCACCTCTATGGGAAGACGATGATTACTTGTTCTGAAATTTGAAAAGATATTTCTAAATTTTCTTGGTAAAATAGTTAAGTATTTTTCACATTCAAACTTGGTTTTAAAAATTCTATATGTAATACCTTTACTGGAATTATTCATATCACTATACCATTTTTTGTAAAAACTGGTCTTTGAGCTTTTGGTTTATTGTAGTCGCCATCCATTTAACACTATGAAAATTTTGATCATTCAAAACATTACACAGTCCTGCAGTGTTCAGAATATTCTGTATGCAAGATATCCATGGGTTATTGATCCCATTTTTGGTATATTTATTATAAAGATATAAATAAATAATTCTACAAATCTTTTTCTCATTTCCATGTAACAGTTTTCCCAGAAAGATATCATTCTTGTATAAATGCGTACGTACATCGGGTAAGGTCCAGTCTCCCCGTATACCATAAAACTAGGTGCACTAGATTTTAAGTTTAAAATATATTTCAAAAATCTTAAATGTAGACGTTCAATTATATCAATATTTTCAAATCTCCATATTTCGCACCCATATAACAAAACAGGAACAACAACTTCATCAAACAGATCTAGCTGACAATCAAAAGGTAGATTATATAAACGAATTTTTCTTATAATGCAGTACATTGCCTTTTGTACTTGATTACACAAGTGTTTCTTAGCCTTTGAAAATGACCCTGATCTTGAAAATAAAATACCTAGGTAATTGAAATCTTTTACAGTTTCTAAAACATCGTTGTTGTATTTAAATGTATGTTTTGGTGATGGTCCTTTTGAAAAAATGACAATTTTTGTTTTATTAACATTAACACGGAGTTTCCAAGTTTTACAGTACACAGAAAATTCATTTAATGCATGTTGTAAATCATTTGCAGTTTCAGACAAGTAAACAGTATCATCTGCATAAAATTATATAAACAGTTTGATAAAAACGGTAACCACTTAAGAAACATTTAAATCAGCAACTTCAATGGTACGAAAATGGCAACAAATTGGTGCTCATGGCAGTCCAGTATCATCTCAAACAGTCCGAATCATCCTTAAAGAGGTACACTTACGTGCGAGACGCCCAAGGAGGGTCTTAGTGTTGACCAAAAGGCTTCTGTGTGATGCAGTGGCCTGCCAAATCCCCGGATCTGAATCTCATTGAACACATTTGGGACTTTTAAAAGGAATGTCAAAGCCCCCCACCCCCCACCCCTTCACACAATTTCAACGGTTTAGAAAGATCCATGTAGTAGGTGTGGCAGCAGATGGGCCAACCTCCTGTTCAGGGGTACATGGTATCCATGAGAAAAGGATGTCTTGCAGTTATTAGAGCGAGTGGTGGTCTTACGTCATAAAGATTATTTTATGTGCATTTTCATTTTGAGGGTTCATCATGTCCTTGACACTTTGCTTTAAAGTCTGACGAGATACTTGCATGAAATTTACGCAACATCGAACTGAAATAAGCATCATTAACCATGAATTAAAGAAATTATTTATTGTATGCATTTGTTCTTTTTAACTTAAAAAATGTTTGGTGAACACTTAGAAGTTTGGTTCAGTGTATATATAGAATAATGACTTCTGAGAAAAAGGAATCATAGCAATTAAAATATGACGATTTATGAGACGGCCTTATGGTCTATCAGCTCACTCTCAAAATCAGTAATAAAGAACAAGGTTCACTTAGGGCCTTTTTTGGCCCTGTGAATTTCAGAAAAACTGAAACTGCTTGGTTTTAGTTGACAATGCATTAAATATCATTTAGACTTTTGGTGACTGCGTATCAATCAAAATGACGTAATTTTCTGGCTATTCAATGCATTATGACGTCATGAAATGCGTCACTTTCCTCATATCCCGTAAAATTCTACAAAAACAGCCAATTTTTAAAGCTATTTTTCGATATTTAATATAGAGCGCAACCTCTGATCTAAAATATGCAACTATTAAATGATAGAACTATTTCTGAGGATTACAAAACATGTTTTATTTTTTAAATCAGAGGGTGCGCTCATATTATTTCTCTTCTGTGAAAGTACTCCAATATACTTGTTTTCCTTAAAATTCAAGAACATTGCAATTCCATGAAGCCTGTTTTCCAAGACCTTGGCTTTAAGAAGAAAATTTTTAATAGGAAATGAAAGCACTAAGTCTCTACTTTATCTTGATGTATAAAACGGAACATAAAGTGTTAGTCAATAAATTGGTACATGTATATCTACAGGGCCATTTTATGCATAAAGTGAACCTAGCTCTTTGTTGGTAACTTTTTGCAATTGCATTAAATTTGTTTCTTTAATAATATGTGCTGCATCAATTCAAATTTATATTAAATGAATACGAAAAAAACACTTAATAAATAAATATCAAGTGTTTCCTATAAATGGCATTACAGACAGGGGTGTGATGACATGTGATGTTCATTAACTTTAAAAGGAGATGTGTGAACAAGGCGCGCAGAATACTAGTAGCTTCGGATATGATATAAAAATCATAATCAATTTGTGACTTTAGTATTTAGCGTAAAGTTAACATATTAAAATTTATGAAAATGTGATAAACAAAACAAGTTATTCTGTTATCAAAAACATAATTTGGTATTCGTGGAGTTCGAACCCTAAACAATATAAAAATCCTGAGCATCATTTTCCTTTAAGACTAACACGCTAACCACTACGCTACACAGCTCCTGATCATGATGAAAGGTGGCATTTAAATCATGTTTGTGATATTGACCCTTGACTAAATGGACTTAAGTATTTCTCAGAAAATGCGAATTTTGCGTCATAAAAGAGTATTTTAAAGGTATAATGGGTCTTTGCTCCATGTTTTTGTTAACCAAAATATATATATATATATATTTTCAAGCAAACTTTGAGGATAAACTTTCAAAAATATAGAGCGAAGACCCACTCATATCGAGAAATGAGAAAATGATCCCTTTTGCCCTCTTTAGCAGCTGTTAAATGTGTTTATGCTATTGCATAGGCAAATAATTTCAATCTTTGTGAGATTTTTGCAAATTGTGAAGATTTTACATAAATTATACTCTTAATATCAGATGAAATATCAAAGAAAACTTTGTTATAATTGATATTAAATTTTTCACCTTCGTGTTTTACGCACTATAGGCATTGCGCTCGCCATGTTTGCCCGTCAAGGTTTTCAAAATTTATTTAATGATAGCGCATTTTATTAAATTCTACAGTGTAATTACTTCGATTCATGCTTTTGTGGAAAGTTGCTGCTAATATGTTTCTAGCTGCGTATAATGACAGAAGTCTAGGTCATCACAAAAAGACATGGTTTTAAAACCTTTTCTCATATAATACCCTTTGGTTTGTTTCACTTTTTAAAAATGAATTTAAACATACCCGTATCCATGTCTTGACGGAGTCCAATATCCTCTCGACTTGGAGACTGTCAAACATTTGTAAGTTTTGATTCCAGTATTTTTGTCACAGTAACTAAAACGATCACCATATACTGAATTAAAACTTGAACACGAGATTAGCGTCGCTTGAAAACATGCACATATCAAATATGAAAAAAGGAATCTTACGAAAGTACACAGGAAAACAGGTAACCGAAAAGTAAAATGCTTAATGGCCATTTGATGTTCATGTCGGACAGAAAGAGCAACGATAGTGTTGGAAAAAGTTCTTTCTGTATCAACAAATCGAGATTGGAAAAATACACGCAATTATTTGATTAAATTGTAACCTGATATCAAATGTTCAGTTTACAGAACAACACATTGAATATACAGTAGGTCTCAGTGTGAAATGTAAAAATTCAGTACTTCAAAATAAATTGTGTACAATTCTATGTTATAGTAATAGGAACTAACATAAAAGTAGTGTTCATGCTGTATGTCTTCACTTTTATTTTATACTATACAAGACGTATGAGTACGTTGATCTAAGACATACGAAGTAATCGTATGATATAAAATTTCATTGCAAGAGCTCATTGGGTTTACTGCATTCTACGGAAACGAAAGTGTTACACAATATCCTCCACTTTCAGTCAAAGCGGGGGCAATGAATCTAATGCATTCCTGAAAAGGTTTGGTATTTAAATAATCTCTATAGTGATTGCAGTACTAGTAAAAACAAGATTAACCGAAGGGGGGAGACCTATTATGGGGGAAGTCTGACTTTAAAATTAGACGTAGAGTAGGTCTTCACGGAGGGAAGTGACACTTCAATGGGGGTTCTCCTACTCTAGAATTATTCATCCCCCAGGGAGAAGTCTCACTCTAGAACAATACTATCGGGGAGAGTGTCAATCTACAGCATGACTTCCGGGGGAAGTCTATGGGGAAAGTCTCCCTCTACAACACTGTTATGATGTGACTAACTTTTTGTTTGTCTTTCAACACAGAAGAACTACCTCAGCGTAGTGAAAACATAAAACATGCCCAGATAATTTTTTTTTTATCACAGAATTTATTCATATCAGTTACATTGAAGTACGAATGTACTTCAGCTTTAATCAATACACAATGAAATACGTAATGTTTCAAAATTTATTTCAGTACTTAATAAATTTATTGAGCATGACCAGTCAGATATTGCATAATCAAAAGCCACACTTGGGCAAGTTTGGTGGAAACTGGCCCCAGGGCTCAGGAGAAAACATTAAAAATATGAAAATATTATTAACTCAAATAGACATTTAATGATAAGTTGTTTCTTATCTGAGGATTATGATTGGTATTCTTCATACTCCTGCAACATTTCATTTTTAGGCAAGTACATGTATATATTAAACACCACATTCACTCACTAGACAGATATCAAAAGTGATTTCTTTCTAATTTCAAGTAATCTTCCTTTGCATCATGGCTAGTTTAATAAAAGCTTCAATGATAAATTCTCTGTCCTCCATATTCAGATAGTCATAAGGTCTCGAAATCTTAAAATTCGGCCGATCTTCAGACTTGTGCTTAATTTTACCTTCAACAATATCATTATATTGTTCCATTCTCATTTCAAGCATTGTGAATGTTACCTGCAAAAAAGGGAAAAGATTGTTATATCAGTATTTATCACATTTAAACAGTGGATATAGCTCATAGGATATCATTTTCATATCCATGGTTGTGATGTCACAATTTAATCTAGTCATATATTTTGGATTTATATATATAAAACAGTGTAAGACATGATATAGCTATGTATAAAACATGATTTTAAAAAAAAAAAAAAAAAAAAAAAACAGGATAAAAATACACAACTCTGGATAAAAAATCATATTCAACCACAAACCATGAGAGATCCTACAATTAACATTCAATATTCAAGAGCACAAAATCAAAATGCCACTTAAATGTTTCATGGCTGCCAGAAAGTGTGTCTTGGGGGGGAGGGTTCCAAGAGGCCCATGGGCCATATATAATGCTCACCTGAGTCAGTTTGGTCCTGCTATTCTTTATCATCAGATTTTGAAAGATTCCCCCTTCGTTAAAATTTAAATGAAAATTCTTGATCCACGTATTGTACAAAAATCTAGCCCCATGTTTGAAATGCATAATAACATGACTAACCATGTACCTGTTTTCTTTTAAAAGATTTTCACAGATCTGAACTTATGATCCCCCTGTTGTGGACCCACCCTTAACACAAAGGCCATGATTTTAACTAACTTGAATCTGCACTACCTGAAGATTCTTGCATATTAGTATGAACAAATATTTCCCTTGTTCTTTTTGAGAAGATTTTTTAAAGTATTGTTCCTATAAATATATAGCCATGCATGTAAAATTTTGATTTCTTTACTTATTGTTGCCCCAATAATACCCTGGGGGGTCGTGATGTGGAAAGCTTAAATCTGGCTTCCTGAGGATGTTTGAATTTAATGTGATTAATCATTTATTTCTCTGTGACACACAGGGTAAGCTACCTTGTCCAATTTTTTGATTAGAAAAACTTTTATTCTATAAATAGACCTAAAATTCTAAATTTTTACATCCCTAAACCATAGGCGTATCAGCAAATAAAATTTGCTTATCCTTGGACTCAAAGTGTCAAATATATCTATTTAAAAATATTTGAAAATGAATAGCTATAAAATCTCAAAAATAAGCCATTGTGCCTTAATTTTCCATTGTTACATGATCCAAAGGTACAGTCCTTAAATGAAAAATTTTACTTTCCCACTTGAATGGTGAGCAAACAATGAAGGAATGCAAGTTAGTGAAATGTAAGTGAATGCAGATCACAAACTGAGAGCAAGTGAAAGTTAAATGCAAGACGAACACAAGTGGAACACATGCCTGATGAACACAAGGTAAACAATTTTTTTCAGAATCATAAGGGTTGGCAGTTCTGTATGCATGACTGATCACGGCGTTGCTGTTTGTAAGAAGAAGATTTTTAAAGATATAAATTTCCTAGATATTCCTATATAGTATAACATTCATCCCCTGTTGTGGCCCAACCCTATGTCCAGGGGTCGATTTGAATGACTTTGAAACTACATTATCTGATGTTGCTTCTTTATTAATATGACTTATCATGGCTTTGCTGTTCTTGAAAAGAGGAATTTTAAAAGATTGTTGCTACATTTCCTATGTAAAACTTTGACCCCCCTGTTTTGGCCCTACCCTATCGAAGGGTTACGATATGAATCAACACTATCTGAGGATGTTTCTGAGTTGTTATGTATTGATAATGGTTTCTACATACCTGGGTTTCTTGCACAATTAATCCAAATATTTTCTCCTTTTTAATAGTTTCTGGGAAATGGAAAAGAAGTTCTCCTCCATGCTGACCAATCAATCCATCATCAAGGTGTTGACAAACTTCAGGTTTATGTTCTGATAAGGCTGGAATGTCTGATTTGCTGCTTGAGGATACTTCCATGGATGATATTTCTTTTATTTTTGATTTAGTTCTTGGTTTGCTGATTTGTGGAGAAGTTTTATCATCTAATTGTGGACCAGCTTTCTTTACCTGCAATAACAAAGTAGTTAAACTTAGCTAAACATGTAGAAAAATCAAAAACAAAAAGCCATAAGTATTAGTCGTAATATGACATACTTGAGTATCATTTTTTTTTCAGGCTTAGCCCCCAACTTAGCCCAGTGAGCCTACCCTTGAAGCCTAAACCCTAGACCCAGAGGACATGACTTGTACAATTTGATAATTTAATTTTTATAAAAGCAGGAAGCATGCTTGCCTCCCTAATGCTTAGGCAAACAGAAGATACATGTATATTTGATCAATTTAGCCCCATTTTCAGCTTTGGCCCTGGGGACAAAAGTTTTACAATTTGAACAAGGGGCCCATAAGGTTCAAATGATTAATATTGATCCTGCTGTTCTTCAAATTTTCTTAATTTTTCAAAAACAGTTTCAGTTCATTTTAAAAATTGGATTTTCCGTAAGGAATCCATAAAATCTTAACTGCATATTGTGTACTTTCTGCATAAATTCTTGATGATAGAAAAGAAATAATGGCAGAATCTGCAGAAAGAGCAGAATTTTGTCAGAGTACAATGTTTCATAAAGTTCTAGCTGTTAAGAAATTATATAAATATCTGAATATAACACTTTTTTGGTCTGTGCTGGTCCATCACAGGCCCACTGACCTTCACCATTTAAAAGAGAAAACATTCTGGAAAACATTTAATAGATCTAATTTCATGGTTTACAAAAGCTAATATTTTTATTGGCCTATTGAAATTTGTTTGTAAAAAACTAGATACATGACCATAGGATATGGATGCCCTACCAAAGGTACATATGTATTGATATACCTTGTTTCCTCAGCCTGAGCTACATGTAAAAGTAAAATATCATGAAAGGAATGGTTTTAATTTTTTTTTATATACAGTACTGATACCTTCAGTAAAGTTGATGCCTCAAATAACTGTAGCATGGTATGTAGTGCTGTTTCATCTTACCTAACAAACATCTAAATGGAGTCTCATAGTTTCAAATTCATTCTCTCAAATGTAGCATAATTTACATATCTTAAGAAGGTATGGTTGAAGTGGTCTCATGGAGATTTAACTGTATTTAGAGTTGTAAGAAGAAAACCATAATGGAAGTTAATCAGATGCAATTAAAAAAGTAAAATTCAAGATAATAGAAGGAAAGAAAATAATGACACAGACGTATTGCTTTTAAAAAATATGTATTTTTGTATTTATTATTATCATGATTATATAAAAATCTTCAACATTAAAGTTAATCCTCTTTGTACCAATGTATGAAAGAAGATGGGGAAACAAGGCGAGCGAAGTGCCTATAGTGCAACAAACATGAAGGTGAAAAATCAAATCTCACTTATTACAAAATTTTCTTTGATATTTCATCTAACATTGAAGTATACTTTATGTTAAATCTCCAAAATTTGCAAAGATCTCACAGAGATTGAAATTATTTGCCTTTGAAATAGCATACACACACTAAAAAGCACAAAAAGGATCATTTTCTCATACTTTAACAATTTTTCAATATGACTGGGTCTTCACTCCATTTTTTCAAAAGTTTATATCCTCAAAGTTTGCGTAAAAATATACATTTTTTGGTTAACAAAAACATGGAGCAAAGACCCATTATACCTCAAAAATAAACTTTTAGGACACAACATTCGCATCTTCCGAGAATTACTTGAAGTCCATTTAGTCAAGGGTCATATCACAAACATGATTTAAATACAACTATTCATCAGGAGCTGTGTAGCCTAGTAGTTAGCGCATTAGTCCCAAAGGAAAATGATACTCTGTCAGGATTTTTATTGCTAGGGGTTCAAACCCCACGAATACTACATTACATGTATTTTTTAATAACAGAATAATTTTGCCGAGAAATTTTTTTTTATAAGTTTTGTTTATAATAATTTCATAAATTTCAATAAAGATAACTTTACTCTAAATACTAATTTCACAAAATGAATATGATTTTTATATATCTGAAGCTATAGGCATTCTGCACGCCTTGTTCACCCATCTCCTTTGATGACAACAGAAACTGAGGAAGCATTGGGCAGGTGAAGGTCAGATGAATAGTTCTCACTAAACATAATGTTTGATCTTAGACAGTTTCTTCGAAACAAGGTAACCACAAAATGAGACATTGTGAGATCATGGACATTGAAAAAGTCAAGGTCAAAATATTACGACATAGTTGAATACCAAGCTAGATTAAGAACACCAATAGGAAATATGCCTTAAAATACTCTGAGAAAATGTATACAATATGAATGTTTTATCATGTTTAAACAGTATGATTTTTGATGAATGGGAACTCTGTTACCTGTATTTGTATACATTAGGTCTTTGCTGAGTTCCAAACAAGTGACTTCACTTGCATCAGCTGTTTGTCATGTGACAGGTTAAAATTAGAAAATATTTGTACAAAAATCATAAAAGTTCCACTGTATTTGGATATCTTTCTGCCATTAAATTAACAGTGC